GGAGCCACTACTCAAAAAAGGTTGGGAACCACAGCTCTGTATTTTCTCTTCTAATCACAGAAAATAACTGAGTGGGGTAGATCTGAGCTATGCAATCAATTAAACCTGAAAGTGTTTCACTTTAGCTGGCTGCACCCGTAAGACTTCCACTAGGCACTAATTTTGCTGTAGGTAATATGTTCCAATTTGCTCTGCTCTCTCAACACCATATCCAGTATGAAATCATAAATACCATTTCCTTGGGTATTTATGCTTTTTCAATTGATTTGATCCCAGGTTTCTTATTCAAGTGTCAAATATAAGCAACCTAAAATGGTATTTTCACACAGCATCACAAACAAAATGGGCAGTAAGCATGGGAAATGAGCCAGCCAAATAGCACAACAGAGTTTCTTTGTAGCTGGATTCTTAATGCTTCATGCAGTCAGGCATTAACAGTATGTGCCACTGCGAAAAACCTGTAGCAGATTAATGGCTTTATGAACCCCAGTTGGGCTCCTTAAACAATTTCAGATTTTGTCTATCCCTGTTCATAACATGTCTTGTAACATTTGTGTATGGGAGGAGGAAAAATAAAGGGAACTGTAGACCTAACAAAACATCTACAGCTGCTTTTTCTTTTTATAAACTTTAGAGCCATTTTGCAATTTTGCGTATCCTTCTAATGTATATACAATATACTACATATCTGCTATAGCTTAACACATATCTTTGTGATCCACAGCATTTACATTAAAACCCGAGAAATAAACAGCAAAAGTGAGGGATTAATATCAGTATAACTTGACATATTGTATACAGGATTATTCTTAGATAAAGGTAAAGGTTCCTCTTGACATTTAGTCCAGTCGTGTCTGACTCTAGGGCACAGTGCTCATCCCCATTTCTAAGCCATAGAGCCAGCGTTTGTCCAAAGACAGTTTCTGTGATCACATGGCCAGCGCGACTAGACACAGAACACTGTTACCTTCCCACTGAGGTGGTACCTATTTATCTACTCGCATGTTTACATGCTTTCGAACTGCTAGGCTGGCAGGAGCTGGGACAAGCGATGGGAGTGCACTCCGTCATGTGGACACAATCTTACAACTGCTGGTCTTCTGACTTTGCAGCATAGAAGCTTCTGCGGTCTAACCCACAGCGTCACCACGTCCCTATTATTCTTAGATACACCACACTTACAGTGGTGCCTCACATTACGATGTTAATTTATTCCAGCGAAATTGCTGTAGAACGAAAACATCGTAAAGGGAAATTAAAAAGCCCATAGAAACACATTAAAACCTGATTAATGCATTCCTATGGGCTTGAAACTCACCGTCCAGCGAAGATCCTCCATAGCACGGCCATTTTCGCTGCACGTGCAGCGAGGAATCCATCCCAGAAAAGAACGGGGAGCCATTTTTTTACCCGGCGGCCATTTTAAAACCGCCGATCAGCTGGCCCAAAATCATCGTTTTGCGAGAATCGGTTCCCGAAGGAGGGAACCGATCATCGCAAAGCGAAATTCCCCCATAGGAAACATCGTTTTTCGACCGCAAAACCTTCATCGTAATGCAATTTCGTCATTAAACGGGCGCTCATCTTGCGAGGCACCACTGTATTGCGACCTGAGTACAATTTTAAGAAAGCGCAAGTGGCTTCATCCCAAGCAAATCTCACCTTATTTAGGGGAGATCATTCCCCTTCATAGAACTGCAACCTTAATGAACTAGTTCAGAAAAGATCAGGGTTAAAGTCTAAGCCCCTCTCCCAGCTAGCTCATTAAGTTGACCAACAATTGCTCTGTTATTACATGGACAATCATCGTTTGGTTTGGGGTTATAACCTTAAGGCTAATCTTGAAACAGCTTTAGGTATGGAAGAGAAGATTGTAGGATGAAAGTAATTCTTTACATCTTCAGAAATGCATTGCTCCTTCTCACATTTGGAAATGGTATGGGCATTTCAGAGAAACCAGTTCACCCACAATAACGCATACATGTCAATATGGCAAAGACTAAAAATGTAGGAAGCTGAAAAGCATTTAATTAATGGGGAAAACTGCATACATTGGATGAAATATGTAAACAAATCGGCACATGTGGTGAAATGTAAAACCAACAAATAAACACACGCAATGTCCAGGCAACCCTGCCCCCCATGAAATGTTGCAAAGCAACATGAAATAGGGACGAGAAGAAAATATGGGTGGGATTAAAAGAACCACAAGAAAATTGAAACTGGGATTTTTTTTAAATTTCTAAAAAACTTCTTTGAAGCTCTGCAGATGCAAGGTCTGCTCTTGATAGGAGATGAGAGATGATGCACTTACTTCATAATAGAAGTAAAGTGCAAAATAAATATAACTATGAAATGTATGGAAGACAGAGAAAGTATGTAGAAAAAGTAATCCTGATCATGTAGGAATCTGCAAATAACACAGGCTCTCCTATTCAGAAAGTCACCCTATACTGGAATTATGACGGATGGCTTAGGGCTAGGATGTTCTTCCTCTTTAGATGTTTTCAGTTTCCAGTTTATTTGGGGACACAGTTCAAGGTGCTACTTACCAATTCGTAGAAAGGCAGGATATGTGAATGGCAGTTTTTTGTACAAACTCAGTTTAATTTGCATTTCAAAATTCTGTCGCATGACCCACCACCATCAGATGTGACACAGATGGGCACATGGAGAAGGGCCTTTTCTGTGTCAGTGCCTTGACTGTAAAGCTTCCTCTTTATGGCAAATAATTAGCTTCTTGTTTAGTTTTTTGTAGATCATCAATACACTTTTGTTATACCAAGTATTTCAATTATTTTAAATATCATTCTGTCCTATGCTCTTAGATAGGACTTTTTACCTCCTGCTTTCAATATGTTATTGGATTTCTTCATTACAATTAGAGATGGGGACGAATTGCCCCTCCCTGTGACCTGAGGAACAACGAATCAATTCGTCATTCTTCAGGTCTTTTTTTCTTTCCCTCAAGAGGAGGGAAAACAGGGATCAAAGTAATTGTGCCGCCATGGGATTGCTTTGACCCCCCCTCTTCCCCTTGCTTAGCAAGGGGGAAAGCAAGGATCAAAGAGATCCTGCAGCAGTTTGATCCCTGCTTTCCTCTTCTGCAGCAGCTGGGGGATCTCCTGCAGCACTTTGATCCCTGCTTTCCTCTTCTGCAGCGGCTGGGGGATCCCTTTGGTCCGTTCCCTCCTCTTTTATGCCATGTAGGCATAGGAAGAGGAGGAAGGAAAACCCCTCTCTGCTTATGTCCCTGAGAAACATGAGGAACAGCTGATCCATGGGAGCATAAGCAGATAGGGAATGAAGAGATAAATATAAAAGGGTTATATTTGGTGCTTTGTATTCTTTGGGGTCTCTGGACCACAAGAACAGAAAGCAATGGCTATCTGATGAGTCAGGGATATTTAACAAATATCCTGATTCATTTTTATATTCGTCCCCATGTCTCATTACAATATATGCTGCTTCAAGGTCCCCCTTTTGAGCTGAAAAATATCTTTTAAATTACATATATGTAATATGTGATTTCAATATTACTTTTGTATGCATAGTTTAAATTTAAATACAGTACATTAAATACTATTACCTAGAAGTTGAGTCATGGCAACTTGCTTGATATTCGTCCCCATGTCTCATTACAATATACCTGTATGCTGCTTCAAGGTCCCCTTTTGAGCTGAAAAATATCTTTTAAATTACATATATGTAATATGTGATTTCAATATTATTTTTGTATGCATAGTTTAAATTTAAATATATTAAATACTATTTCCTGGAAGCTGGGTCATGGCAACTTTCTTTCTTTCTTGTTAGGCTGAAACATTTTGCTACTCATCCAAGTAGCTTCTTCAGTCTGCGGAGAGTTGGGTGGAGACCCCTGATATATCTTCCATGTTGGTTTCACTTCCTTCGAATCAGAATAGGCTCATTAGATGGACAAAGGATGGGAGGTGAGGGATAATCCCACTTCTGCAGTCCTTCTCCACCCATTGTCATGGGTCATTAACAGCCATTAACCATGGTCTTTCTGGTGTGTGGAGTCCTAATCTTTTTTTCTATATGGTCTCCCTGACCCCTCTCTCAAACCACCTATCTTCTTGGTTCAAAATAAGTACATGTTTGTCATCAAATGGGTGTCCTTTGTCCTTCAAATGAAGGAACACTGCTGATTTTGCTCCTGAACACATTTTTAAAGTGAAATCAAAATGGAGGATATATCAAGGATCTCCTACCAACTCTCCTCAGACTGAAGAAGCTACTTAGATGAGCAGCGAAACATTTCAACCAGTTGCTATGACTCAACTTCCAGATAACCTCACCTGAATGACTGAGAATCTTCACAGATTAAATACTATTGTATTTGACTGTGCCTCCCTAGAGAAGGAACAACTTGTGTGACCTTGGGCAAGCGTCATGTTTACAGGGCACTCCCAGAAGAAGGGCAAATCACTTCTGAGTACTTTATAAGAGCCTCATGGCACAGTGGTTAAACTGCTGTACTGCAGCCAAAACTGTGCTCATGACCTGGGGTTCAAATCCCAGGTAGCTGGCTCAAGGTTGACTCAGCTTTCTGTGCTCACGACCTGGGGTTCAAATCCCAGGTAGCCGGCTCAAGGTTGACTCAGCCTTCCATCCTTCAGAGGTCGGTAAAATGAGTACCCAGCTTGCTGGGGGGGGGCAATGTGTAGCCTGTGTAATTAACTTGTAAACCACCTGGACATGGGTCAATCCCGCTATGGGGCGGTAGATAAGCAGCACATTTTTCTTTTTTTGCTTTATACTTAGAAAACTCTGACCTATGAATGGATCTAACTTGACTTGACAGCATGTACCTATTCTATATGCTGTATATATGCTGGAAATTGGAACATGGGTGTATGAACATGCCAAGATACTTATTAAGTCTGAATATTGCCCTGTGGTGAAAACAGACCTGTTCGCAGTCAACTACAACTGTCCATATTCAATGCTGAAAGACATAACTTAATTTTTCATACCTGAAAGAATCATAATGAGGATTTTGGCACCAGGTTCTAAAAGGCTGTGAAAGAATCCAATGGTTGCTGGAACGTCTTTCACATAATACAGCATCTAAAATGGAGACGGAGAAAAGCTATGTTAATGTAGACTTAGTTCACAGAAACCTTTCTCTGAGTGTTATGATTTAGGGGATAGAATGCTAGAAACTTTAAAAATGTGTTCAGTTCCTGATTTTTCCAGGTGCATTAGCTAATGTAAATGGCAGCTCTGCATTTATTCGTTCTGTAGCCAGGTCTTCACACATATTTTCCCTTAATAATAGGAAAGTCCTCAAATCTTTTAGACTATTTAAGCCTGTTAGTCAAAGTGGTAGATACAGACAATTTTAACACTGTATGGCGCTACTTTAAGAAGGGTTGCACAGAGCATGTAATGTAAGAAGCAATCATAGCCCTCGGTTTCTTATTCATTTCTTTTTCTGACTTGCACAGGTTTTTAGAAATAACACGTCATATTTTTTCCTTTCAAGAGTTAACACTTCAGTTCCACAGAACTTCCTCATCTTTCCCAGAGAGATCTGTGGGCAAGCTTCTCCTTCAAGGCCCACCTCCAGAGGCAGGCAAGATGGTAACCACCACTGCCTCTGGCGAGTCTCAATATGCACAGCAAGTATTTGTTCATAGCTTCATATTACAGATGCCATGGCCATGAACAGTGAGGTCACTACAGACGTCTCCTCACTCATCCCATTTCAGGGATAATATACTTCACACGGGTCTAGGGTTTCTCTCCCTACCCTTTCAGTCCAAATAAACAAAATTATTGGGGGGGGAGGGAGTCCTTCTCACTCTGGCTACTTAGGCAAGTCCTTTTCTAGATTTTGCCTCAGGACAGAGTGTGCAACTGCCTAAGGACATTTGTACCTCCATCGGCAGCTTGAGAGTACTATTCTGCCCCTTTCATAGGTTCTTTATATCAGTGGTCCAACATGATACTCAACAAAAGCTGTACAGTAGGAACCCCTTGTCTGGGCGATCAGTATTTGCTGATTCACTTTTCCACTTGCTGGAAATACTAAATAAAAAACCTCAGAAATACGTATCTATGCATATTTCCAGGACGTATTTAACAAAATTGGCCACTAGATGGAGCAAGAGACCATGCAATGTACAGTGTTCTCCACATTTTTCTGGTATCCATGCGGGGTGGATTTAGAACCAATCCCCATAAATATTGCAGTCCTACTGTATTACTCTTTCACACAAATGGCTTAATATGCTCTTCAACAGCTCTGCATCTGATTAATGAGGCCCTGAGTCCATGTAACATAGGAATGAAGCCTATGTCCCCAACTGAAGCATCAGGTGGAAGTGCACTAGGTGATGTCAGCATTGTGGCTTCAACCACACTTGCCCTCCAGCCCAAAGAGAGTTGTTGCAAGGTTGGAATAGGGCCCCAGGCCTGATTCCACTTTTCTACCTGTAGTTGGCATGGAGCCATGTAACGCCATTTTGTATTATTTGGTGCCACATGACCTGTCCTTAAGTAGCTCAAAAAAAATGTTTCCCAGAGCAACTTCACAAACCAAGTTGAAATAGCCACAGAAGAATGAGTTTGTTGACATTAGATGATGGTTTGACACAACAGAATGAACCCAGACATCTGACTCTATGACAGCCATTTCAAGCATTAGCATGAAAACAACCAAGAAAGTCACATGTCATTTTAATGAGCAACAACAACAACAAAAAGGTTGGACCTAGAATTGTGCTCAGTCCAGTGGTAGCTACTCCTTGTTGTGGTGGTTTGGTCAGAAGGCATATGCACAGCCCAACAAAACCGGTTACAAAGATGACCAATCATACATATTAACACATGTGTGCATGCTCTCTGTCACACGTACAAACACACACACACACAAGATTCACACAGACATAGCAGAAAAAGAACAGGCAAGGGTCTTTTCCTCTTCCTCTGCTAAGGATGCAGGCAGAAACAGACTGGATGGGAGCCTTTTGTGGACCAACCTTCCCTTTGCCCTAATGGCCAAACCACCATTGGCTCAGTGGAGTTTCTTTATTACAGAAGAGAGGGTGTGTGAGACCCTCCCAAGCATCCCTGAGCTGGGATAACACTTTTTGTTCGCCCTTGGATCTGACCCTGCCACTCCCTGATCAGACACCCAATGTGCTCCTTCAAACCTGGGAGAGGTAGGCCCCTTCTTCAACCTCCACTCTGAAGAAAATTTCCCTTTAAAATAAATAGATGTTTAAAGTAGGAAAAAATGTGCTTTTCTTTTTGTAACGAGCTGAGTTTAAAAAGGGGATGGAAGGGCAAACAATAAAACAGGATAAATATCTTTCATACAGCTTTTTATTTAACCTAAAGCCCGCCTCTAACTTCTCAATCTATATGCAAACCTATCAAATCCTAAATCATCCCACTCTACCATACTAATCTTCATCCTCTCACTCTCTATCTCAATATTCATCTAAACACTATCTATATTCTTTTCTCACCCACTTTTATATACACTTTAGCAAAGTGTGCTGCTTATATGTCATCCCCATAGTGCTTAAAGCATTCTCTGGGCAGTTTATAATTTAATTGTGCAGGCTACACATGACACTGAGGTCATGACCAGAGTCTTGCCCACAGTACTGCAGTGTAACCACTGTGCCACGAGGCTCTAGAGCAGGAGTCTCCAAACATTTGACTGTGAGGGCCACCCCATATATTTTAACCATTTTTGAGGACTGAAGGAACAGGAACTTATGTGCGCAGATGCATGCA